GTCGCCAGTGTCCTACTACACGCTTCAGACACGTGGACTTTGAAAGAAGTAGGCAGGAAAGATTATTGGTACTAGAGATAAAATGTTACCGATGGATTCTAAGAATAAACTAGCAGGGCACGATACGAAACGAAGATATCCGAAGAAGGATATCAAGAGAGGAGACGATAATCGACATCATCAAAAAAGAGGAAGCTGCAGTTGTTTGGCCTCATCTTCAGAATGGACGATAGTAGATTGATAGAACATCTACGCTTTGGAGAAATGGATGGAAAGTCTCGACGGGGCGATCATGCAGAGAGCGGCTGGACGACATAACTGAGTGGTATCAAAGCAGTGGAAAAGAGCTGTTTCACCTTGCGCAAGGTCGACAGATATGGAAAAATCTGATCTCATAGAATGGTTGGCCCCAACAGGTGTTAAGCGTAAGAGACATGATGATGATGATTTGTATAGTCGATACCTCTGTAGATAATAAGATGGGATTGTAGTGACAGACATACCCTATTGCAAAATATTTCTACTGAAATCCTATTGAAAGACCTGATGTATCGCAGCTAACAATCCAATAGCTATATTGAGCTCTACCGCTTCTTCTGGTTTCTTCAATTACAAGTATTGTAATGTAAGATATCCTAAATCTTTTTGTGTAAGCTCCTAAACTACTATCTTCGCACACAACACATACAGGAATAACATTTAATTCACTACCGTATACGAATGATCTTAGAAAACATACAGAAAAACACATCTTTTGGGAAGAGCAAAGTAGAAGTCGAAGGTTGATGAATACGAGAAAAACTAACATCAAATGCGAGTTCCACGACCTCGATTACCCCACCAGAAGTGAATCCCTGATGACTATCAATAAATTTCATTGATTTCATAAATGCTGACTTCTGCTTGGAAAGGATAGACAGGTAAACTTCGAGCTCTTTTAGCCCAGGACTTAACCGTTGTGTAACCCTTTCTTTCAGAAAAGGAAGTAATTGAACGCTAGAATAGTGGAGTACTTGGATTCGACTTTCAATTTTGACAACACTGCTGAGTTCTAAGCATTTTAACTTACCTTCAGACTGACGCATCTAGTTGCCCATTCGTCAACTTTTCTTCTCCTCACGTCCACACCCACACTTCTGCTTTTCTTTATTTCTCAAGACCTCACACATTCATCAAACTAAAAATATGCTCGATGTGTTCATGTCTGTCTTTGTCCCTCGTCTTCGTCGCTTGCACGATGGTCACACTGAAGAAAGTAATCAACACCCTCATAGCGTGTACATGTTTATGAGATTTCCAAATGTTATGGTTCGCGATATTCAAAATTATAATCAGAGTGGCAGATACAACGTTGAATACGATGGCTTCGCCCAAAAACGCGAATCGGCGATGAACGACTCTGCAGTGGTTTGTATGACACACCATAATAGGACTTATGCCGTTGTTGGAAAAGATTGTATATTCATTCGTCGCCTACTTGCGTGTCAAATGTGTTCACACACGGTCGAGATATTTCTCCATTGGTTCATCTTTCCAATATATTTCGGTAAAGCGATGAAACAGGGACTGAGAGAGACGGGAAGGCAGGAAAAAGAGAGAAGAAGAAGAAGTTGTTGTTCCGGCTCAAGTCGTGCTAAGTCATAGCACTACCCCAACTTCGGCTTCCCGAAATTGTACGCGAAACAACGGGAGAAGGAAAGAAGAAGAAGAAAAAACTGTTGTTCCGGCTCAAGTCGTGCTAAGTCATAGCATTACCCCAACTTCGGCTTCCCGAAATTGTACGCGGAACAACGGGGGAAAGATTTCACATACCTGCAAATAAATAGCTTTTATGTAAGTGATTGATCTTGAATGGATGTACTGAGGATGTTGAATGGAGATTGTATTCGTAAAAATAGAGCACTATATCTCTTTCGTATGAGAAGAGTAGTAGCAGCTGCAGCAGCGTGGGATCACTTTCATATGTAGTTGGATAAAATATTGCGATGCAGCCGTCGTCTCTGAAGTTGGTGCTCTTTCCAAAGCAGAGTTCATGTCATTATTGGTATTTAACGTTTGCGAAATATGCGAGCGGAGTTGACATAAATAGACTCTTGACGAGTTTAGTTGAAAAATAACACCAGTTCCATGTGCACAGTCGTTCTAGTGGCGTCGAACAATGGTCGACTTCGAGTGATCAACTGGTTTCGTTGAAATCGTTTGAAACGATGTTGTTATTTAGTGTTTTCTTCGCGAAGGACGCAATTGTTATGCCTATCGCGTTACTTCGTTTTCGCTTGTGTCAGTTATTTCGAATGGAATCTTCGTATTATATACCTTTGCCGATTGTCTTTCGACTACATAAAGAGAAACAAATATCGATATATACGTATAGATATGTATATCCTTGTTGTCAACGCCCAGCCATAGAAAATGGCACGGATGGATGGTCGCTTTTGCTTCTCATCACCTATTTGCTTATACCTAGGATAAAATATTTGGTAAATAAAACTCCACGTGGTGAACAAAAGTGGAGAAACTAAAGAACTACTAAATAACGACTAGCTTTTGTAGCTTTTTCATCCATAAAAATAAAATTTTGACTCATCTTCACAAACTTGTATGTTGATCAGATTTCCGAACTATCATCTTAAAGTCAATACAGTAAACAGTAAAGAAGGATGAAAGAGATCTTTTAAAATATAGTTGGTTCTTTTTTGAGTGCCCAAAAGACAGTCGACTCACTCATCAAGTTTGGAAAAATTGAACTTTTGCAAATAAAACATTTAAGCAGGTTTCTGCATGTGCTTTTAAACGTTGGTAATGAAACTGTCCGCAGTTTCGTAGAAGACATGTTGTACACATGTCTGTAACACTCAACAAGAAAGCTTTTCTAGAAGGTGCATTGGGCATCTCTGTTTGATGGAGAATTTTGTGTTCCACGAATAGGGCCACTAGCCCAATACTTTGACCGCTAAGCTCGCTTTGCACTTCTATAGATGGTTTTTCACTTTCGTTGGAGACTATCTTTTGCATGTCGATGAATACATTTAATTTATTTGGCCGAGCACCTACCTACACAAACTGATTAATCTGCCGATTATTTCGACCATCTAGATCATATGAGGTACACTAAAAGTGATTCATAAAAAGCTACATTCTATCAGGCCGGTTAATTTCTTGTATGTGTTACCCGAGGAAAACCAAGTGGGAGAAATACTGTTTACAGTTGAGAAGCGTGCAAGTAACTGTACCGAACACATTTTTGTTAAACTATGTTGCGATCAAAAGTTTCGCAAAAAAATCTCACCTCAACCATAAATATTACACAATGATAGTCCTTTGATGAGACAATGTTACATAATCAAACGACTTTTCCAGAAACTCAGAGGGTTATTGGCAGCAAATCACTTTCATGATATAGATAAAGTTTAACATGCTGCATCAATTGGAATTCGAACAAAGTTCGTGTCTACTTTAGTTCTTAATATGAACAGAAAATAGTATATCGAAAACGCTTACCATTATGGTTCGATAAGCTGAAGTATTTTGTAAATTCAACCGATGCGGCCCTTAGAGAACACCCACAATAAAATGAGTATATTTGCACATACGTCTGCATACGACAATTTTTTGCCTTTGAATTGGGCTAGGCCATTCGATAGAGCTTGAAAGGCTATGCTTAGAAATCAATATTTACTCTTTTCTGAGCCTCATATCCGGAGATGAGGGTGAGGGTGAATCCATGAGGGCCTGCCCACTTTTTGGAAAAGTTTTTTCCAATTTTTTTCGCTTCAACCAGCCGGTATGCATCAGAAAGTACTTTTGAAGAAAAAAAGTTAGGTCCTATCTGCGAAAAATTCCCAGCTTTTTACCGTTTTTTAGGTACAAGTAAGGTATATTTTTATATAGAGAAAAAATGATAGAAAATCATGGGGTGGAAAATCTCTAATTATTACCAGTTTTCAAAAATAACGTTCTAAAATTTTCGTACTCAGGAGTCATGAAAATTTAAAAAAATTTATATTGTCTCAGGTTATTTATTTGAAGTGAGATGTTCTAAAATTTCCGATATCGTTTGAAAACTATAGCTGGTTTAGTTATACTCATTCAAAGTATCAGATATCAGATATTTACTTTTCACCGAAAATTTTGAACTGACGAGTTTGCAAATCATATTTCAATGGATAATATACATCATATAATGTATGACATTACCTATGATATCCCTCACCAGTCGTTCTCCCTTAGGCACATTCAGCGAAAAGTAAATATCTGATATTTGCCCAGGTTTCAGACACCTACATAGGCAATTATTAGCGAACTCTTTACAAGAGAATAAAAATTTGAAACTTTCACATAGAAAAGTAAATATCTGATATCTGGATATCTGCCCGATTTAGAAGCACATAGATAGACAAGTACTGTGGAAGGCTTTGGATTATAATAGATTTTGGAAATTTTGATAGAGAAATAAATATCTGAAGTACGATATGGGACGACAGTTTCCACTAAGACCAAACTAGATGAATGAATGCTAACATAGTCTGAACTATTAACAAAGAGATGTTCGCGAAAACTGGTAATAATTTGAGATTCTCCACCTCCTCAAATTTCCTCTCTTTCTCACTCTCACGTCATTTCATACCTTATATCCTTCGAATTCACCCACCCTCAACATTTATCTTAATCTTTTGAGATCCTGTAACGCTATTGGTCAGCTTCGCAGGTTGCTTATAGCTGCTGATGCAAAATGAACATCTGAACAAATACAATAGAAGCGATCTCGTACACTGTTTAATATGCTTATAGAAATAAGCTAGATCGATTTTGTTGATATATAAATTAAAACACTATAATAAAAATGGTTTCTCTAGATTTTTTTCCGTTTGCGAAACAATAGATTTGTTGATCCCGTCTTCGAGTACTATACATAAGTCAGTGTATGTTGTTACAAATACTTGAAATATTTTTATATCTGTATTCATTGAAATTTGAAGGGACACAACAACCTATTACCAATGGACAGAAACGACAAAATGCCAGACGATAGTACTTTTTTTCAAAGTGCTCAAGGCCATTGGCACAGTCAAGTTACATCCCCGAGAGCTTCGGTTTATACCACCAATGTAAACATGACTCTGACGTCGACACCTTCGAGAACGACAACTCATGATGGCATCAATCGAAGTAGCTCACAGTCGAATTCAACATCTTTTCAAGTACATACGTCCACCAGAGAATGGTTGCCAGCTGCTACTTCAACACCACTTTGTGTAGTGTCTTCGGCAACAATGCATTCTTTGGAAGATGAAGAAAATGAATTGTTTGGCAAGATAAGGCAGTCGGTTCGAGACCTTCCGCAACGACCCAATCGACAATATCCATTATCTCGAATCATTAAATGGACTGTCGATGAACTGATTCACCCAACTTTGGTCGAAACGGAAAAAAGTCGAAAGTATAAATGCCGAACGACAAATATCGAAAGGAAAAACGTCGAAGAACTAATTTGTCGAAAGATGAAATGACGAAAAAGTAAAATATCGAATGATAAAAATGTCGAGAGAGAAAAATATCGAAAGGTAAAGATGTCGAAAAATAGAATGTTATGAATTTGATTTTCTGAAATGATTGAAGAGGACGAACATATAGCGAAAGATGTGTAAAAATAGTGAACGGAGATGTCACTAAATATCAAATATTTCGAGATCATATTTACGTAATATAACTTATTGGAATATTCTATCAGCCAATATATTTACGACAACACTTCGCTATAGTTAGTTCGCTACATGAATGTGAATAAAAAGAATAGGCGGATCATAACACATATAAAATAAACCGAATATTTGTCGACAACGTAAACCAAACCACTATCATGGCAGCCACCACTAACACATCCATCGAAAATATTGGTAATATATCATTTATTCAATCGAATAAAAATCAACCATTATTAGTTATGAACGATTACGTGTATAAGTGTAATAAAACAACAGAAAAGACAAAGTATTGGGTATGTGTTGTTACTGGTTGCCGAGTGAATATTCACACGACGTTGAATGGTGCCTATTCTGGTGGTGGAGAACGTTCTCATTCTCATGCAGCAAATCCCGAATTGCTTCAAGTGAAAAAAGTTCGACAAAAATGAAAGAACGTGCTCTCAATGAAATGGTACCGGTGGGAATGATTTATGATGAAGAATTGGCAAAAGCAACAATGACTTCGTCAGCTTTAGCTATTTTTCCAACGAATACTGAAATTTGTAAGTATCGTCTAAAAATACCATGGCCACCATACTTCATATTTCTTTTATAGATCAAGGGATCAATAAAGTTCGTCGGAGAGCAACACCAGCACTACCACAATCCTGTTTATTCACAATTCCTGATATATATAAATCTACAATTGATGGAAATCGATTTTTACTATGTGATGAATCACGTGTGAGACGTGAACGTCTCTTGTTATTCTCAAGTGATGATCAGCTTGATTTATTATTTGATTCGCCTATGGTATTTATGGATGGAACATTCAGCAAGTCACCGCCTCATTTTTGTCAGATTTATATTCTTCACGCAGTTAATTTTGACATATGTGAGTAAAAACATTACAATCTTTTCGAACAGATCTTGATTTGCTTTTAGGTCTACCATGTGTATTTGGATTGTTGGTTAACAAAAAGTCGATCACATATAAACAGCTATTTTTTAATTTGAAACAAATTGCATTGGAACGTGGAAAATGTTTTTCACCAGAAGTGATAATAACTGATTTTGAATCAGGCGTACTTCCTGTATTAAAATCTGAAGTGAGTATTTCTTATGTTCATTAGGAGAAATCTTAATTACTATTTAATTTAATTTTAGTTCCCATCGGCGAAACATTTAGGATGCTTTTTCCACTTCTGTCAGGCGATATATCGTCAAATACAATTTCTTGGAATGCAAAAGAAGTATACAACAGATGAAACACTTCGATCTTTGTGTCGAAAACTGATGGCATTAGCACTGATGCCGAAAGATAAAGTTGTATGCAGTTTCGAAGAAATACAATACGATGCTTATAAACTACCTGATCAACCAATGGATGATTTACTCGAATACTTTCAAGATAATTGGATGACTAATATCGATTCATGGAACGTATCTGAATCTGATGTTAGAACTAACAATAACTGTGAAGGTTAGAAGAAAATATTCGATAGATTTTTACAAGTATTTCTCCTTTTTCTTCAAGGTTACCACAATAGAATGAATTGCCGACTTATACGTAATCATCCGAATGTATGGTTTTTCTTCAATTTTTTGCAACGAGAAGAAAAACGAGTCACATCCATTTTAGCTCAATGGTCTAGCGGAGCATCAAAGAAAAAAAACACTCGAAAAACAGCAATTGAAAAACGCATTAATACATTGTATAAACGCTATACCGATGATCTTATTGGTGCATCTACACTTCTTACTGGTTTGTCTTTATTTGTGGCAAAGAAATGCAAGTAAATTTACTGCAATTCCATCTCACTTGAACAAATCACTTAATTGTCTCTTATTTAATTTTTACATGGATTTAATTTTTCTTGTTGAATAAAAATTTTCGTTGATTATTTCACCGCTTCAACTTCATCTTTTCGACATTTTTTTCTAATCGACATTTTTACCTTTCGATATTTTTCCAATTCGATGTTTTGATCATTCGACAAGCTTCCGAATCGACGTTTTTATCTTTTCGATATTTTTACATTCGACATTTTTCAATTTTGTCGTTCGACATTTTTCCTTTCGACATTTTTCCGTTTCGACCAAAGTTGGGATTACCGATGAACTACCCAAAGTAGAACCTGTCGTCGTTGTTGTCATTAATTGATCAGCCTTTCTTCTATGAAAAGTCAATTGTTCTGATTTTTTCAATTATATGTTGGAAAAAAAGAATATAAGACTCTTCAAGAAGAAGAAGAAGAAGAAGAAGAAGAAGAAGAAGAAGAAAATGATCAGAATACCCATCATTTTCAGTTACTGATACTTTCGATCTTCTCTTTTCTAGAATTAGAATTTTCTTTTCGATATGAGCTTTAGTTCGTCGATATTTAATAGAAGTTTCAGCGGTGGTTTTCAACCACGCCAAGGATGTTTTCGAACGTCAAAACCAAAAGAAGTTTCTCCCACTGATCAGCGGCAACCACAACAGTCAAAGACGAAGAGGACAGCGTTGCCGTGAAACAAATACGGTTGATCATAGTAACAGTAGTATATATTTATATATAAACCTCAGTCATTTCTGTTTTCCTATAAAATAGATAACGAAAATCGAAGATGGTTTAGAAAACGAAAGTATACTAGCTCAGTGCATGATCAACTGTCAGTCAGTCGATCAATGAATCAACTATCTATAGCGCAAAAATCTTCAAAAAACAAGAAGACGAAGAAAATGAAAGTAACAGTTGAATCGGCGAATGATGCAAGCGGTATAGGACCGAATGCATCTGATCAACGTTTTCAGTCACCGCATGGTTTCCAAATAGTGATGCCGCAATATTCGAATATTTCCAATCAAAAATTAAAAGAAATGTTATCGAATATCAATGAACATAGTCATTAAATCGTTTGCAGTTTAGATATAAACGAGAAACTGCAATCGGTTCGAAAGATGATGCATCTAATTAGCACATCCTATTAAATCTTGTTGAAAAAAGATGCATGGCAGGATCTTCATGATTTTGGAACAAAAAATTGTACATGGCCAATGAAAATATCAAAAAATTATTGCTAGAGATCACTGTACATGTCAAATGTCCAAGACCGGTATGGAATTACAGAAGCTTTTTCTCGACTTGCTAACGTGGACGCAACAATGTTCACATCCAATCGATGTCCGTCAAATATCAGAAATGATGGATAAATGTGTTGAAAACGGTCTGCGTCGACTGAAAGATAAATTCATTTATAAAAAGACCATGTTACAGCACAATTATGATGACCAGCAAGCCATTACAAAATTTTATTCGTTAAATCCTAGTAAAGAGCAAGTAAGTATAATCCAATATAACAAGCACGATCTGGGTTCTTGATTTCTTTTTAAGATTCATCTAGCGAAAAAAATATGCCACTCGGCAGCTGCTGAGTTCAAAGTGAAAGAACGGCAAGAGATCCTATGAAAACGTATTTCATTACGTCGTCCACCATCGTCAATAGATAGATCAGTTAATCAAGCTGTATACGACATTAAAGAGATGCTTGAATCTTCAGTCATCGATGATGACGAGTGTGCCGATTTAGCATCACGATGTTCGAAAACCATTACGCGACTTAAATGTGATGTAATGGTGTTAACACTAGCCACAATGGACAATACTATTCGTGGTCATATAAAGAAGGCAGCAGAATTGAGACAAAAAATTTCTATCCGATCACCGACATAGATCACAATTGGCCACCCAACA